GCTTCGGGCGACACGTCAGTCTTCTTTGGAAAATAAAATCTAGCGGAAGAAGAGTCGAGCGTTGGGAACAACTCGCTGCTCCGCGGTTCCCTCGCCGGGCGACGATTGAGCTCGCGTTTCGACGATTCGCCACTTCGCGACGCGGTGAAGGTGCCGAAAACTCGGCCACGTCCCCCTCCCGATGTCGGCGACGCCAGGAGCGGCCGCGAGGATCGACGCTGCGGACCCACTCGAGCTCGTCAGCCCGGCGGCGACCATCGGCGGTCGTTGACGTATCGGCGAGATTCGGCCCCTTGACCGCATGGAGGAAACATCGTTCCCCCCCACCACCTCCCCCGTTTAATGAATCGCCATTAGCAGGAGTAACCCCTTGGCAGCAGCCGTGTGGCATAAACATGCCAATGTGCAACTTTTAACAGGTTAACAACTGTGGTTCAGATTGCTTTGTAAGCTAGTGTTTAGTCAATAGATGCACTTTTCTTGTTTCGCTCTGGCAACAGCGCACACACGTGTGCACACACACACCTCACACATTTTTGCTGAAACAACAATCTACACGCGTGTGTTGCAGTAAAATGTCTGTTGCATTCGTGCGTTTATGTGAATGTTTAGCGTGTGTGTGTGCATGTGAGTTGTATGTACCTGTGTGTTCATGTGATTGTTGAGTGTGTGTGTGAGTGTAACGTACATGTGCATTTAAGTAGTAGTGTAGTGGTTAGTGCACTGCCCTCGATTATGAGGGGCCCAATCGATTACTGCTCACGGCCAACATCAGTGACAAATATCTGAACCGGTTCTGGGCCTCCCCTAAGTCGACTCAGCCTAAAATGAATACCTGGTGCGGTGTGTAAATATCTCCACTAGGGAGACGAAGGCGGCCGAGCGTGCTGCTGGTCACCCATCCCCTCTTGTGCCGTGCCGGCCTTCGTAGGTAGTTCGCTTAACAGCACTTGCCCAAACAGATTGTTCAGTTTATAACGGGGATCTTTGTCTTTGCTTTTTGGGTCCGTCTATGCACGTGTACGTGCGTTCAGGACTCTTGGAGGCCCACATGTCTCGCACTCCATGAGGGCACTTTGAATGATAAATGGGGAATTTCTACAGAGCCTTTTCCCTCCCTAAAAAAAAAAAATATTAGAAGCTGGAACAGAGTTCCTGGCTGTGAATTAGCTCTGCCCAATAACTCAGCTTGATTTGTTAGACCTGAAAATCTGCCCAACGTTTGCCCAGAGATGGGGTGGTGGAGGCCACTGGGCTTTAAATGCAGGATAGTTTTTTTTATTGGCAAGAATTAAATAAATAATCGCATCGCATTTTGGGAGCAATAACCCAAAAATACTTTTTCTTGTTTTTATTTTTCACGTTTTTATTAGACTTATGAATGTTTTGCTTGATGTGGGTCCAACTCAACGCTGCGTTCCCTTTGGCTGTAAAATATGAGTTGGTTAATGAATTGCTTTAATTTCCGTAAGGTGGTTTTTGAAGCCAATCGGAGACCTGAATAAGTTGATTAATTTTATTTGTGTGCTTTCACTTCCCAATGCTACGATGCTTAAGTAGTTTCCTGTTGCGTTAGAGCGCACGGGTATATAATTCCACTTTTTTACACTCAGGCTCTGTCGGGTGGTGGGTGGTGATACTCAAAAACAGGAACATTGTAGCTACATTATCGAAGCCAAACAGAAACTAACTTTGAATCACGAGTCCATTGATATTTCTATTTTGTAATAATCACACCTTGACTTGATTGTCTAAATTGCACTTATTAATTTCCTCGTGACTTTTAAAATATCAATTTGTACTCCGGTATTAAATACATTCCTCTGCCTTTTTTAACCTTGATTTTATTCATGAAAAGTTATAGCTTTACAGTTTTGTAGGTAACAAATATATTATTCAGCATCTTAGGATAATTTGTAAAAGGTTCAGCTGGATTTTAATTATAACATCATCATCCATAATGGTCAATCCACTGCTAGATTGCGGTCCCCCAAAGCCACCCCTCAGTGTCCAACAATGCAACGATCCATGCAGAACCCAAATATAAGCTGATTTAATTGCTCCATCTCCATAGGAAATGTACCCACGTGTGAGTTCCCTCATTTGCCTGCCATTCCATCGTTATTCTCGACTGCCGGGCCATCGTCTCCCTCTAATGTGCTCTGCCCAAGCCCCCCACTTCGTCATATGGGAGGTAAAGAAAAAAAACCCAGAGGAAATCCACGCAGAGCAGGGGGAGAATATACAAACTCCACACAGAATGCCTCCCGAGTCTTGATATCAAACCCAGGTCCTTCTTGCAGTGAGGCACACGTGTTACGATTACGCTACCACCCGGCGACCCCCAACTAATTTCACCCCTCCACGAGTAAAAACTTCTTTCACAAGCAATGCAGCGGAATTATTCATTTGTAAACCGTTATCTATCTGAGGATCGCGCCACCCGGCGCGTCAAACGCCACCGGTCGGGGCAGTGGCCCGTTGCCACCGCGGCGGTGTTGGTAAACACGGCCCCCGGCTCTGATGATGACGTGGCACCGCGCAACCGTGGCGCTCGGCCACGCTCGGCCGCTGGCGCGAAGCCACGCGGCCGCTCGCAGATGGAAGGTCGCGATCGCCCGTGTGGGATTATTATTATTATCACTCCGCGTGTGCGAGCACACGGCCCGTAACGCGAGGACCAGAGTCCCTGAATGGCAGTCAGTGATGATATTCCTGCTAAGTATTTTCTTTTTATATTCATTTCATCATCGTCGTGGCACTGCGGTGGCGAGATGTTAACTACCTCGCCTGGTATGCAGGAGGTCGTGGGTTCTATCCCGACCCTGGGGATGCCTGTATATTTAGATTTTGCATGTTCTCCCCGTGGTCGCGTGGATTATTCTCCGGTTTTCCCCCTCCATATTTAGAATCGACATGCGTTTCGAGTATTTGACTGCTATACATTTCCACATGATAAGCCACTTCGTTAAGCTATCATTTGTGGACATTGTTTAAAAAGATCTACATAGCTCAGTGGGCCTTGCCTGGTAAAATTTAAATATTTTGTAATTGTCCGAATTATCGTTATTATTGGGATGCTGCCACTGCAGAGTAACGGTGAGCACGCTGGGAGCGCTATCCAGAGGTCTGCCAGTTCGGTTGGATCTCCCAGCTCAGCCGAGTTTCTTAAATCCTCCACGTCTCTGTCCACGCAGCGCTATAAATGTGTGCACCGTAGTCCGTCGAGGTCGCGTGCGGTGGGGTAAATTGCAGGTACTCCCCCCTCTTCTGGAGGGGGGGGGGGGGGTATCTGCCCAGTGTGGAAGAGTAGGCCAAATTTCGCTTGAAGGAGTTCTCCAGATCTCCCTCTCGTGGAGTCTCTACCGCCAGCAGTGGGCGTGAGCAAGACATTACAGGGCTGCACATTTACCATTTTACATATTACTACTATTACTTATTATTACTATTACTTTGTATTACTATTACTTATTATTACTATTACTTATTATTACGAACGGTTCCTTCTTGCTCGAGAAGAAAATTTCCGCTTGCGTAGGACATTGTGGAATATCTGTTGTGAGAGCGTAATCACAAAGGCAGCTGCCCTTGTGCAAATACAGCGGCGGGCGGGCAGGCGTGCGTGCGCGTGCGGTGCGCATCGTGGTCGCGTGTTGCTGAATTGGAGGGCGCCTCTGGTGCAGCCTCGGGGTGCTGATTACCGCGTCGACTCGATTGACTTTGCTCCGAATCGTCCACCCCACCACCCCCCCCCCCCACACACAAAAACTTTTGAAACCCAGCGACCCTTCCCGAAGTGAAAGAAGACACACGCCGAACAAGCGCCTTTGGTTTAATAATAAAAAATAATTAAAGTGCATTTTGCCTAAATATAACTTTGTGTGTCGTGGGCCCAAAAAAAAAAAGTTAAATTTTTTTTCAAATTGTCTTTAATTGCGAGCGAAAAGACACCGGAGGATGCTTACCTAAGTCCCCAGGTTTTCATTAGTAAAAATAATAGCAACGGAATGGCCATTCTTCCAGCCAAAGGCACTCTGGCTTTTTTTTCGCAATTAACGCACAAAATGGTCCTCTGGAGTATTTCTGAAAATTCCAGCCCCGGCAACCGGCCTGATTTATTCATACTCTCCGCCTGTACTCATTTACAGCCTTTCCCATCATCAATCACTGACCCGCTAATTAAAGAGAAGAGTCTGCTTTGGCTAAAGATGTTATATATATGCGCTTTAGACATGCGTCTGTGCGTGCGTGCGTGTGTGCTCTATTTCATATCCAAGTACAGATCATTAAAATAATTTTAATGGTGTAGTAATCCTAAAGATATTTGACCGCTACTAAACCTGTTATATACGTGTAATTATATTACCGTAATAATTAATTGTAATTTATGCAATTAAAACCACACTAAAATACTACTTACAATGTGTGCTGTGTGCGTATTACCTTGCGATTACGACGTCATTCAGTAACATGGGCACGTGTGGCATGGCCTTCATCCAGCAGTGGATTGACCACGGCTGACAACGGCAAATCCGTTGGGGAGAGCGAGCGGCTCGCAATCAGAAGGTTGCGGAGTTCAAATCCTGGATCAGAGTTGCCTCGGCCCATCATCTCTCCCTCGGAGGGGTGTGGGGGGTTTTCAAAATAGGTACCATTTTGTGTGGAAGTTAACAGTGATCATAATTATGCAATAAATAGGAACGTTGAATTTCCGCCGCTGGCTCAGGGACGTAGAGAGAAGGTGCCTCAATGCTCGTTTGAGCAGAAACTCACTGTGACGATGATGACGCTGATGGTGAAGACGATGATGATAACAACGATGATGACGATGACCATGATGGTGATGATGACGACGACGACGATGATGGTGATGACGACGATGATGGTGATGATGATGACGACGATGATGGTGATGATAATGACGACGATGATGGTGATGATGATGACGATGGTGATGATGGTGGTGGTCATAAGGCTGGTGTTTGATGTCGTTTCTGCAGCACCCGTACCCTTCGGAGGAGCAGAAGAAGCAACTGGCGCAGGACACGGGGCTCACCATCCTGCAAGTCAACAACTGGTGAGTAGCGATTACACGTTCAACTTTATTTCGCTGTGCTGTATTTATACTACTGTCACGGGGAGAAAAAAATATTATTAGATGTATTACCACTTTATATTACTGTGTTATCCAGAAAATGACGCGTTTTTTTCCCCCTCTATATTGTAAAAGTAAAATGTGGGGGTACGTCTGAGAATCCGTCAGGTGTGTGTGTGTCATAATTTTGATTCCGGTGCACCTTCAATAACCGACCGAACTCAGCTCCCTATCATCACCTCGCGTATTGTTCAGTCCATAGGCCTGTACTGGTCTTCACGATTTGTTTGAACCAGATGCCGCCTGTTAGCGTAATTCTGCAAGGACCAAGGGATACTTTATATTCACGCGAGGGTGCAGATTGGACGGCGATTTATTTAATCATCGGTGTAAACCTATTGATACATCACTCCCGACTGGCAGCGCACGTGCGAGCGCGCGTGCGCTCGGAGGAGGAGAATGAGAATTTCCCCGTCTCTTTGGAACAGATTAAGCGCAACAAAAGCCGCACATTTGTATTCAGCGTCTTCTTTATAATTCAAATTTTGACCCAAATCACTAAAGCCCCCTTTTTTTTTTGCAATTATCTCACAGGGTTAATAGCACCGACTCCTCGTATTGAGGTGGAAGGTTTTTGGAAAGATTAAACGGGTTTTTTTTTTCCACCACTAAAATGTAATTACAGCAATCTGCGATAATTCCATCCAAGGCTTCGCCTCCCAGAAATGACACGGTGGCCCTTTCATTTACAGTTAACCCCCGCCGTATTTATCTGAGATGTTTCATTTACAGAGCCCTTTATCTGCGGGCCGCAGATAGACAAACATTCCTGAGCCGCACAACTTTATCAGCCTTCTGGCCCCATCCACAGCCTGGGGTCAATTGATTTCTCTTCTGCTCTCATTCATTTTTTATCCCGTTTTATTTGCTGTATCACAGCGTGAGGAGACGCATCTGGAGAATTATGGAGTTTTTCAGCCTTATCTGGCACCGACCCAGACACCGGTTACAAGGCCAGAACCCGAATAATTGCCCCAAAAGAAGCCCGCCGCCCCCCTTATCTCGCCGGTTCACCCGGGTTACGCGGCTCGGAGCGGTTTTATTAGCACACGCCAGAGAGAGCTGTGCATGAGATGTTAACAAATCTCGGGTAACATTACCACCTGTTGAAAGGTAACGCCCGTAGGTTACCGCGTGGTTTCTGTGTGTGTCAGAAGTCTGATGCGAGGGCATGTCAAACCCCAAACGCTAAACAGGGCGTAGACAGAGATGGCCACCGTGCAATAGTCACTCTGAGGCAAAGTAGCCAGCGAGAGTTCAACAATTACACTGGGTCCCTTAGAAATGTATTGTCCAATGTTAAATGAGTATAATTGGAAGGCAGTTTGAGTTAGGTAGAACTATAATCGCACACTTACAATAAAAATAAAAACGTTGCAGTCCTGGACCATCAACCAATGGATAAAGGTCTCCCCACTCCACCCCATTCATGAGGTTTTATTTACCATACTTCACCACAAGGTCAGTGCAGGCTGATGAAGTGGGGTGGGGGGGGGGGGAGGTAAGACCGGTTCAGATATCGCTGGCCGCCACCGATGCGCACTCACTCTCTGTAATATGCCGATTGTATCGTGCGAGTTTACCGCTCGTAACCTCCACGTGTCCGCTATTGCTCGTCGCGTCCAGATTTGAGAGTCAGTCCTGGGTGCTCGCCAGTGTCTCAGCTGCGGTCGTTTTCGATCGCCGTCGAAGATCACTCGGAGCGTTTCGGTTTGAAACGAAAAGAAGAGAACGAAACGCAATCCGTGGGCATTTCATGAACGTTTCGCCAACGATTTCGCCCGCTGCACTGATTGAAATAGTCAAGTGTGCAGTTAAGTTGAAACAGAATCAGAATATTTATTTACACTGGAGGAATCCGATCAGCTGTGAGGCTCTTTTTCACAGATGTCCAGTCGGGGCAGGTCTGAAAGTTACAACAACAAACAATACAAAAACACGACAGGAGGGCAAAGTATAGGAAAGGTCAACAAATCACTTAAAAATATATACAAATAAAACTAAATTATTTTTTAGATACAGTATTACCAAGTAAGGCCCACTGAGCTATTAGCATCCCTTTCAGAAGCAACCTGGCCACAAATGACAGCTCAAGGAAGTGGCTTATCACCCGTAAAAACACTTATCGCAGCCAAATAACCAAAATAAAACAGACGTTGGCACCTTCCACGGATGCTCGCGCCGCACCGTGAAAACGAACACAGCATCCAAGTCGCCGAAAAATGTCGGGCTGAAAGAAACAACAATCGGGTGGGCGCGGTTCAGCCTCCGGTTGAGCGGTTGAACGATTCCATCTAATTGTGGCCGACCCAGAGGCACGCGATGAGTGACCCCCCCCCCGCCCCCCACGAGTGTCAGAAACGCTTCTCCTTGTGAACGGCAGGCGGGTGGCGATGGCGTGGCCTTCTGGAAAGTGTCTCTCGAACAGCTTCATTTTCTTCATTATCTCCCCTTCTCATCAGCCGGGGGTGGGTTTTTTTGTTGGCGTTTTGTTTACCGGCCTCTCAAAGTGACGAGGCAGCGGCAGGGGCTGCTCCGGTTCACACCGAGGTTGAGCGGTGGTAGAGGAGGGGGAAACCGGGGGTGGGGCCCCGAAATGAGATGCAGGTTGGTCCCACGGGGGGTCACGACAGGCTGGCGGGGTGGGGGCAGGAGTGGCATCGCGGTGACCAAGACAAACACTCATTAGACAGCTGCCACTCTCCATCCTCGCAATCGATTCCTCGCGCTCGGCCGATCTTATTTTGTTTTTATTGCGGGCCGACTTATTGCACTTTGGGATGAAATTAGGTTCCGAAGGACAACCCCCCCCCCCCACCTTGCATTCTATCGGCACAAAATGTGCTCATTTAAATAAAAACAAGCCGCTTCTAATGGCGTCGTCGTCGTGGCGATGTTTGAATTTGCTCCGCTCGTGTTTGTAGTTTTTTTAGCCGAGACCCGCGCGCGATCGCATGAAGCTCAGGGCTTTGCGCGCACACACACAAAGACAAAAGACAAAGATCCCCCGAATAGCCTTTGAGAGACCGTTGGAACGAGTGCTGTCAGCGAGCACCTACGAATGCCGGAAACGATACACGAGGTTGGTGGGTGGCCGGCACCACGCCCGACCGCCTTTGTCTCCCCAGTAGCGATGCCTACATGAGGCTGAGTCGACCACACGCACGCACGCACGCGCACGCTTGCCGGCATTACGGTAGAAGAAGATAAACTCTCCGGACGGATGGCGGCGTGACCGACGTTCGGACAAGAGCGCCGCAAATAGCGGTGGGCTTCCTGAGCAAAACTATTCACTTCCGAGTGCCTTTGTCGAGCGCACGAACGGGGGGGGGGGGGGGGGCAGCCAGCCAGGTCTAATCGCCTCGTGACAGGTGCTCAAAAAGACTCCGCCGCTTCAGAGAAGTGACGACACGTGCTGTGTTATTGTTATGTTATCGTGCTCCCGCTTTGTGTCGCGATTGGAGCAAAATAAAGGGATCGCGCAAAGCAAACAGCAGAAAAAATGAACCTCTTCAACGGGGGGGCGAAGGGGTGAGCCGATCCGTCGCACGTGCGCGTGTGTGTGTGTCGGTGTGCGTGTGTGTGTGTCGGTGTGCGTGTGTGCGTACGTGCGCGTGTGTGTATGTCGGTGTGCGTGCGTACGTGCGCGCGTGTGTGTGTCGGTGTGTGTGCGTACGTGCGCGTGTGTGTGTGTCGGTGTGTGTGCGTACGTGCGCGCGTGTGTGTGTGTTTGTCTCGTGCGAGCGGGTGTGGGAGGGGGGTTTGCAGGCCAGAGCAAACACTCGAGGTGACCGGGCGTCTAGGCTCTAAAGCGGCTTAAAAGATCAAACCTGAGGAAGTTTACCACTTGAAGTGTTTACAAACCATCGGACAATACCAAAAGGGGAGGGGGAGGAGGGGGGGTATTAGCTCATTACACCACAGTAATGGAGACGGAGATGTACTCAGCGGCTCAGGGCCTCGCTCTCCTCTTGACCCCAACGGGGGGAGTCGGAGGAGGGGGCCGGACGTCGCCGTTTGTCGCCGTGAGATCGGGAGAAAAAAAGTCGCCGAGGCACATCGACATCGTCAGCTGAAATGAATCGCGGGAGGGCCCCCCGTGTTTATTTTGACGCGTCGCCATCGCGACCGCACGCGCCGGTGTTGACGAGCAAATTGGCGTCGATTGCCACGAATGAGCCAAACCAAAACACCGCGGAGCTTGAGTCAATGGCTGCTGCCTCGTGACATCTGGCAATGTAAGAGTGTCGCTCCAGCAGAGTCGACTGCGCTGATGGCACCCGCAAGGGTTGAAGCCTGGGTCCAGAAGTTTGCCTTCCTTCAACAAGCGCTGCCACGAGACGGTCATCTGGAACATCCATCGGGGAACGGGACGGAGAGACCATTTGTGATGGGTGGACTTTTTAGGTCCGTTTGTTTCTGTGCTCCACACGTTGCTCCACAGCAGCCCATGATGGGCTTTAACTAACTAGCCTAACGCGCGAACGCATATATTGATCACAGAGCGTATGGCGAGCGAAGAGACATCGCACTGACCGATGTATCTGGGGCAGAACACCTCAACTCGATGGGAACGACGGCCGGGTTGTTGGGGACTATGATGATGGTGGGGGGGGGGGCACGAATGACGGAATGCACCCCAGGGGTCACATCCACCACGGAGATGGAGCAAACAAGATCAGCTCGCGTGCAGGTGCGAGGTGTTATTGTTGCCTCCGCGCGACAGTGATGCATGGCGACGGCTTGGGGGATTCCTTCGTCCAGCAGCGGATAGATCGCGGCCGATGAAGATAAATGACGACAACGACGAAGATTTAAATCGAGGAGCTATCTAACGACGTCTTAACGAGGCCAACAATCGCCGCAATACTTCGGCCTTTAGAACAGGGAGTGTTTTTCTACCCTGGCGTTTTTGTGCTGAG